AATAACTCTTTATTATTAAACAATATTAACTCCTGCTTTTGATCGTACGAGTAAAGAGTTTTTAACTCGTTGAAGAATTCTAGTATCTTCTTAAATATCCAGCTCAAACTGTATGAGAGGAGGAGACACTTGCTCTCTCACTGCTCTCTGCAAGTAGCCGGGTGGTGCACTGCGCTACTTTTGTATACCAAAGCTATGTAAGGAGTAAGTTGATGATACCGCACCTTTGTCCTCACTGTCAGCAGAGATCATTCAGCCGTTCAAACAGAAGAGACCGTCACGAGAAATATTCGAGTTCGAAACCGCTAGTCTAAAGACTTTTAGCTTAAGATTCTAAAAACCTCCAGCCAAACAAGACCTATTCTATTCGGGGGGATAGAAATGGGCGAGGCTTTTCGATTCAAGATACCCTGTAGCATTTTAATCGTGGGACCGTCTGGGTGTGGTGCGACGTATTTCATCGAGTCGTTACTCCTAGACCATTTAGATGAATTATTTGTAAACACTCCTACTGTACGTGATGCGTTACTACTATAGCGCATGGCAAGTTGGTTTCCCTGATAAAATGTTTCTCTAAAAAAGGTAGTTAGTTGGATGATTTGATGAACGAATGAGGAAATGATAAAGAGGTGTTGGATCTTTCTACCAAACACTCCCATCATCACAACATCACCATCAAGTACCTGTGTCAAGACATGTTTCCACCAGGCAAATATGCTAAGAGTATTGCTAGATATGCTCATTACGTTTAACTTAACCCCTTTTCGAAGAATTTGCTATTGCAAGCATTTCCCAACAAGTTTTATCAGGTAATCGCATACCAGAGAGAGATAAACAAAAGTTCTGTTTTCTTAGACGACACCAAAATTAAAAATTTCTATCATATAACCATCTTGCAATATTTGTAATCACTGCAATATTTCACGTGTCACGTATTTGAACATCGGAAAGATAACTAGACAAATTATGTTTTCCCGCCTAACTCATTTATGACTTTCTGCGTGACATCCCCTTGTAACACCCTTTCGCGACGGCGTGACAACATGAAAATTGTGTTACAGCTCAAATCGCCATCTTGTTAGCCATATTTGGTAATGCCCGTTTGTTCTTGGTTGGAATACTACCAGACTATAGTGCCTCCTATTACTACTCTCGAGCGAATCTGTTTTTCGACGACAGAATTTAAAGAGCTCTGTAACACTCTCCAGGATGATGAATTTCTCGTTTAAACGAGACCGGTTGAAATACCATGGTCGTAGTTTCAGCGTCTATAAGAGAGTCCTAAGAATGTGCTCTGTTCTTGACGCTTTTTTTCCTGTCCACTATGACTGTGGCGTTTTCGGAACAACATTCATTGGGTCCTCGTATGACTCATCTTCTTCACCTTCAGTCTGTAAGAAAACAAAACAATATGTATTAATGTAACTAGCAAGAGTCTTCCTTTTAACCCTTTACACCCTAAGATCAGTATGTGTATTCTCCATACTGTTTTCTATCCATTTTGTAAGGTAGTGAAAAGGAGAATTTGCTCAACAATCAAGACCCTGTTTAGTTCGGCGTCGTGTGGGTTAATGTGGTAGAAAATGGTTAACTAAGGGTAGATGGGGGTTAACCTGGTAGAACATGGCTAACTAAGGGTAGTGGGGGGTTAATGAGGTATAGCATGGTTATCTTAGGGTAGTTGGGGGTTAATGTGGTATAACATGGTTAACTAAGGGTAGTTGGGGGATTAATGTGGTATAACATGATTGACTTATGGTAGTTGGGAGTTAATGTGGTATAACATGATTAACTTAGGGTAGCTGGGGGTTAATGTGGTATAACATGATTAACTTATGGTAGTTAGGAGTTAATGTGGTATAACATGATTAACTTAGGGTAGCTGGGGGTTAATGTGGTATAACATGATTAACTGATGGTAGTTGGGGGTTAATGTGGTATAACATGATTAACTTATGGTAGTTGAAGGTTAATGTGGTATAACATGGTTAATTCTAAGGTTAGATGGGGGTTAACATGATAGAACAACGTCAATGGGACACATTGTAAACCACACATGAATAGTGTTATACCTAGTATCATTATGGGATGTATTATGTATGGAACATGTTATGGACATAACGTGGACGCTTCACCTACAACTCGTAAAAATACTCAGCGATACCACACACCAAAACTCCTAATACGATACATTTATTTAATACTTTAATCTCTTACCTTAATGTATGACATTCCCCACTGGGGTGAGGTGGGATCACTATTTCCTTCTCCTATTGATAACAACAAAAGAACAACAAAAACAGTACAAATTTTCGGGTACATTACAGTGGGATAAATGAAAGCGGATAGCATAGTTGACAATAAATTTTGCAACGCCTTCGTGTTCTCCAAGAGCTTTTCGAGCATCGATTTTCACTGGGAAGTTTTGAAGTTCAGTTACTACGAAAAAGTACCAAAGCTCTCCCTCAACTTTCGCCTGCACCCTGACGCGCACTCTGAACATATTTGTAGAACATGGTGTACTGTCTCATAATGTTAAAACAAAAAAATAAGTATCCAGCAATAAATTTCCATATATGTTGGGAATATGTATGGAAATGATACACATTGCAAGCGATTCACCAAAAATATAACGGTTAGTTGATCATCTCTTTTCCTCATGGCGACCTTATTTTATAATGAGAACTTTTCTCGTCGTGAAAATTTACTATTGAACTTTGCAAACTACTTTGGACAAGTTGCTATTAATTTGATCAAAAAAAAAATTCACGATCAAGAAGAAAACTGCTTTAATTTTCAATTTAGCATGTTAATTCGATGCGAAGCCAAAAACAGTCGACCTCGTAGCACCCCCTACAAAAGAGGTTTGATAGACTGATAGGCTGATAGGCTGATACCCACAGATTATCGCTACGTCAGTCGTAGTCACAAGTTGTGGGGTCAGTGACTTGCTATGGGGGGGGGGGGGGGGGGGGGGGGAAGGGGTTTGAAGTGCTTTGGAAGTACCAATAATTATGTGTTCCAAAACGAGGGGAGATAAAACTTAAGTCCAGGAAAATTTTGGCTGGTTGGTGAACCGATACCACAGCAACAGTTGCTAAGGAAATTAAGAAGAAACGTGATTTTGTGAAATATGATTAAAAAAAAGGAAAAGAATAAATGGCAGACGTTGTTAACTCGAAAAATACCTTACCGTCGATCTTGCTCTATATACAAAGGCAAAAGAAATTCAGTAGAAACACCCTGAGGAGTCTTAAAAAGGTTATGAATTGTTTGGAGAATTTCATTTCGCGTTTAATTTTCTAGTTGCAATAGTCATGAAATTTCAAGAACGTGGTATAGAAGATATTTCTACAGAACCCAGTCTTATTTCTTTTATTCCACAATCACGCTCCTCGAAATTAAGTCTTTCATCTGCAGAGTTAGAGCACATAAGCTTTTGATGGGAGCTTTTTTGGGATGCAGTAGAAAGCATTCTGTGCCTGGATCTCAGAGGTAAAGCAAGTTCTGATATAATCAAAAAAATCTCTGCACATACAAGGCAGTATCTACAACTTAACAGAGGAAAGATAAATACCCTCTGCTATATACGATACATCGAAGGATCTTTGTCTCCTGTTCAGCAGATCTAAGAAACAGAGTTCGTGACCACAGTTCAAGTTTTGGGGACAGCTACACAAACATGGCACTCCTTTTAAATTTCATCAAAGCAGAGCGCAAAGGATACTAGAAGATACATCTCGAGGCAACAGCTGAGAAGAACCCTCATTTGTGCTCAATGGATACAAAAAATATTTTCCCATTGGCTTCCAGTCTACGTCAAAGACATGAACCCACTTGATAAGAGAGCTCGATCGCAAAAAGTTTGTTGGTCGATCAAGGAGTCAATGAGCTTTGACAAATGCTCTCAATACCAACAATTTTGTGTGTCGATCGGGGAGGTAACGACCTCTAATAAGAGAGCCCGATCGCAAGAATTTATTTAGACGATGGGGGAGTCAATAAGCTCTGATGAGGGCTTCCGATTACAAGAAGTTTATCAGTCAACTTAGGAGTCAATGAGCTCTGATAGGAGCTCCCGATCGCAAGAAGTTTGTCTGTCGATCGGGGGGTCAATGAGCTCTGATGAGAGCTCCCAATCACAAGAACTTTGTCTATCGATCCGGATGTCAACGAGCTCTGATAAGAGCTCCCGATAGCAAGATTTTTGTTGGTCGATCAGGGAGTCAATGAACTCTGTTAAGAGCACCTAATTGCAACAAGTTTCAGTGTTGGATGATTGGGGAGGCAACGAGCTCCGCCAAGAGCTCCCTATCGCAACAATTTTGTTTGTCGATCGGGGAGGTAACGACCTCTAATAAGAGAGCCCGATCGCAAGAATTTGTTCGGACGATGGGGGAGTCAATTCGATAAGAATATGCTGTTCATCTGTTTATAAAGGTGATAGTAACTAAGCTGTCAATGTTTATCCATCACTCCACTTAGTTAACGAATCGCGTTGAATCACGAGAAGTCGATCTTGCTTTTGAAACATTTTTGTTCAAAATGTTGACTCTTCACAAGGTGACTTTTCATCTGAATTTTCATACAGTCTCAGTTAAGATCCGGCAAAACAGAAACGAGATATATCTACTGAGGAAATTAGAATTAGACAATATAGGCGATTTAAAGGAAAAAACAGCGTTTAAAAGCTTTCATGTAACATTAAGAAAAACAGAAGTTGGAGTAGGAAGAGACTGTCCAACGAGCTACGTGCACTTCGAAAAAACCTCGTGGCTGTAAATTCAGTGCGGAAGATAAATAGAAGAAATTGTTTACAATAAAACCACCTTGGAAGAAAAAGGTGTTAACCGCGCTAAACTTAAAAATAAAGGAATTCTTCCTTGATGCTGAATTATGCATGGGATCAACCCCAAGCGAAAACTAAAAAGGATTGGAAAAAGAAGGGTATAACTACCACGGAGTTTATAAACAGATATCAGTTTTTAACAAAAGCAATTACCTTTTCTTCTACTAAACCGATTAACATTGTTTCCAAGAGCAGGTGGAGCATAGCTTACCAAAAGAACCAGTTTCCACGGAATCTGAACACCTTTTTACTCCGAATTCGCGATAAGAGAAGGAGTGCTTTGATCAAAACTTATAACAGCCAACAATAAGTGCTTCATAATTTCAGAGAACTATTTTCTCGTAGCAGTATGATCAGTGCACAGTCTTCATATGTTAAAAGAGTAAGGTAAACTTACGATCGATGGATATTTTGGTTGTGTCCTCGTGTACCGGTACACAAAGGAACGAAACATTAACGAACTGCGTCACAACTCCATGTATGGATATGAAAACAATAGGAATTCCCCCGTGTACCGGTACACCAGGACAGCCCCGATATTTTCCTTTAAATTCCCAAAACTAAATAGGCTAGAATGACGCGCAAATAAAGGGGGTAATTCTCTAAAGTAACTGTGGTGCTACTTCGATGGGAAAGTGTAACAGGGTAATTTGGTATTATCAACTGAGTTGGTACCATAACTTGGCCACCGTAAAGATTTTCAAAGCTGACGTTTCGAGCGTTAGCCCTTAGCCATTCGCTGACGAAGGACTAACGCTCGAAACTTCAGCGTCGAAACTCTTCACGGTGGCCAATTTAAGTCTACTTTGCTGTGATAAAAAAGAGAAAAAAGCAATAAGGAAAAAGCCCAAAATCAGAATTCACAGGCATATAGCATACGAACACGACATAGGCATTTTTTGGAATCGCTTGATATTCCTAAACAACAATTGATACTCCTAAATATGAACGAATTTTTCGATGGAAATTCTTTGAAATTATTCGGTTGACGGGGTATATAGCCAGAGGGTTGTTTTAATTGCTAGCAAGTTCCACTTTGGCTTTTTTGTTTTGTCCACGAAAACATTATTGTTACCAGGTGAATACCAGAAAGTTTTTGCAAGATACTAATTTTGTCTTGATGCCGACTGCGCCAGAAATAGTTAACAATGAAGAGGTAAAAGGTAAGGCTGACTAAAATAAACCCAAAATGTGAAGCCTTGTTTTCTCTCGTGGTTTTTAAGTGAAATATTAACTTGAATTAAAGAATGCTACCCTAACAATTACAACTATTTAAAATGCAGGTCTTGTCACGACATTTTTGTATTAATCATGCAGTTCATCCAGGCACCTGCCTCATAATTGTTTTTTTTTCAGTGGGCTCCTTTCGGAAAAGTAATTTACAACGATACAATTCTACCACAGAAATACGGAAACTTCAACGAAGAACTTCATAAAAAAAATCAATTCAGTTAGTAGCTTGCAATATCTGCTCGACATAAAATGCCTTCAACATAAGAATCGTCACTTGGAAATTACTAGACCTCCGATCTCTTTTTCCGTTTCACAGCCTGAACCGTTCAAATCGTTGAATGCCATAGGCAAAGCAATCCCAACGGCAGCATTCAAAAGGAGGAGATTGAGCACCTTTTGAAAAGAAAGCATTACTCCGAAACACGCAATAAACAAAGCTACAAACAATGCGGTTCCCTTATTCTTCACACAAAACTTTATCCAAGACACTTTCGGAGCAGCCGCATCAAGTTGCGGTTTACACGACCCAAAAGCCACATGCAATAGAAGCACGATTGTTACTGTCGTTATCAAATTGATTGCCATCAGATAAAACAGTGTATCTTCGCAAAAACGATTGAGCCGGCATCGGATCGTTACAAAAGCGGCCAAAACCAGCGCTAAAACTGCTGTTGTATTAGTTGCATATGAAGGAATTAATTCTCGTTTTCGACATGGTACAGATCGAGGTTCATTGGCAAAGAAAGCCAAACTTCCACTAACAAAAAACACCATAAAGGTTGCCACTGACGTATACATTCCATTGCAGTGATCGCAATCATGTTCCCCACAAAGTGCGTTAAAGCGTGTCCACGAGCTTACTGTGTTCGTGACAAGAACGAAGACTTGATAAACAGCTTGACAGAACACGACAGTCCACCTTTCCTCCAAAAATGTGTTACTTGCTTTGTTTTTATAGCAGTTGGAGAGCATTTGTAAGTTAGACAAGACTCCAACGAAAGCAATAGCAGTTATCAAGGAATTGTAAATAAAACTCATTCTTCTGAAGGCCAATTTGTTGCGTATTACCACCCTCGGTTTGACAGCTTTCCTTTACCTGTTTTCGAAATATTTTGGCCTTGTTTCCCCAAGGAGGTCATTGAAAAGAGAATCAGTCGTGTTTCGAGTTCCAAAATTCCACAGTTCTAATAAAAACAAAAATTGCGGGTCACTCTTACCAGTATTGGTTCCACTGGAAACCATCCCATATGGACTGAAACATAAAACACAGAAGAAAATAAGTCAAACGACACTAAAATAGCCTGATTATAATTATAGTCGCAACATCATAAATCAACTCATGGTAATATCAATATAACAATAAGAGGAATTCATTACACTGCCAGCTCAGTAGCAAAGAATGGTTCTTAACATGAAATCGATATCATTGCGTGCCAAAAATGTAAAAAAATGTTTCTTTTTTTCACAAGACAGACCCCGTGACACATGCAACACAGAGCTAGGAACTAGATCAGCATTAAATAGGGTTTGTTAAATGGAAACTGTCTGCATTGCCAATATGGGCCAATATTGGCCAATACAAAAATAACATATTGTAAATGTTCATCAAGACTACGCTTTCTAATTCTTAAAGAGTTGATTGGGGAGGACTAAGAAAGTAAATACATGTTTTCTGACTTTGCCAGAGTATTTAAAGAGTTAACATCACTATACAACAATATACACTTAATGTGTGGTCCACTTAGTGGTAAAAAAAACTAACTAGTTTCCCGTGGGACCATACATTAAGTGCTTTGTTGTATATTTAGACTTTCCCTTAAACAATCATATGGCAAAAACATGCTGTTGTATTCGGCGCGCAGGCAACAACTGCGCAATTGTATCCCGGTTGAAATACATTTGAATTTGATCAGCTGCACGTGACCAAGAAACAACCAATCACAGTGCTCGTTCTGTTGAGTGAAAGTATAGGTATATAGCAAAAGCTCACTTTTTCTACACTGTTTTCCATTAACGCAGTGACGTGGAAAAATTTTCACTACAGTACCTTAAAAGTGATAACTCTGGGCCCTGGTCTGATGTGTCTGTCTGCAATAGGAGAGCAACATCTCGTTTAGAAAACAGTCTGTTTAAGTATGATCAGATTTTGCAAAGAAAAGATGTGACTGGACTTGGTTTTATAGTATTGAGCAGATTAGACTTCCACAAACAATTTTCTTATATGTATTCTATTTATTTTTCGTTTGACACAAAACAGCTCAGATCATGTACAGGTATGAGGAGCCAGGAAGGATCGCTTCATAATCTGGAACATTTCTCAAGTTGTGTGAAATGTTCATTGGCTAACTAAATTTCTTTCTCTGTAAACCATCTTGTTTGCTTCTGTTCTGTGTTTGACTTCTTAATAGACATCACACAGCAATCAAAAAGGGAAACAAACAGTAACTTTTAATAAAAGGTTTGAAGCCTGATGAAGTAGGGAGTCATTTAACCCTTTACATCCTAGCACCAGTATGTATAGTGTCCATACTGTTCTCTGTACATTTCCTGAGGTGTTGACTAGGATAATTTGTTTAACAATCAAGACCTTCTTTAGTTGGTGATCATTTCATTAATTCTCATGACCTTATTGTGTAATTTGGAGCGATATTGTAAGGAGAAATTAGATGCTAGTCACTCTTAGAAGTTAAAGGGTTGAAACAGTACTCCTTAGGCCCTGAAGCACACTCACCCCAACAGATGTTTTACATGATAATCCACTTCCTTTCAGTTCCACTTCATCTTTGACTCTGAGGGAAAGGAAAAATGAAAAAGTCAGAATTAGTTTAACCCTTTACAACCTAACATGAGTATACCTGTTCTCTATACCATTCTATACACATTTCTTATTGTGCTAACACTGAGAATTTTTCAAAAATTTTCCTTTATTCTCTCAGCCTTAATGTTTAACTCAGGGGTGCATGTGACACTACAAAGAAAAATTAGATGCTAGCCTCTCTTAAGGGTAAGAAGCTAAAATCTTACAGAGCTTGTGAACCATGATTGCTAGCATTTAACCTGGTTTCTGCACTATGAAGTCACTAATTTAAAATGGTTTCCACTTCTCCTGGATGGGATGCCTTGATGCTATCCTTGTCTTCAATTTTTCCTTAAAGTTTCCTGGTACCCATTAATGTTTGAGGGTGAAGAGAGATGTCATGAATGTGACTATTAGGAAAACCAATCAAATCACTTTATTTTGTAATTTCTTTATTCAGTTTAAACAAGCATGTGCCAACTCAGTTGGCTTTCTTCCCCAAGTTAAAATGACTTAGTTTCCTTTGAGTTATCTTTATAAAATTAAACCAAACAAGACATCCAGCTCTTTTTGGAAAACTGTGAAGAAGCCAAAGCACTAGTCAATGCTATCACATGCTGTAATGATAAATAAACTCACATGTATCCTTGAGAGTTTCCTCCACTAGAAACCGTTGCAGATTTCCTAGCTGATGGATCCTGTGAAAAAGTACAAAGTTCTCTTAGAGTTTTTATCCTGGCTTACTGTAGTTCTATAAATTCTTCATATTAATAGTGTACATGAGGCAAAAATGACTATCCAGTCTTCAAGATTGAGACCCTCATTTCATATTTTTCAGTATAAAAATCATGATCAAATTTTTATCTTGAAGAACAACCAATTTGTAGCTATTTCAATTATAATTTCAGAGAGGGAAAACAACATTTAAATAATTGCTTCATGTCTACTCTGAATCATTCTGAATCTTTAGATGACCTCAACAAATTGCAAGAGAAACCAGATGAAAGAAGGATTGTTGACTGATAAACATAAATAGTTTCTTTCATCTGTTTCACCGACACACTCCATTTACTTTTAGCCATGATTGTTGGATGTGCCATTTAAAAGATAAGCACATGCTGCTTTTACAAGGGTAGTCATTACAACCTCTTCCCTGGTTGTTCAGAGCCTGAAAAATACTATCCATCAGAGAGAAGTATGATGGTTCTTTAAACATTGTACTTTCTCAGCTGTTGGTTAGCAATTTTTCCATTAAAGGGGATAGCAGAATAAATTTGAATAAACAAATGATAATCTACGGGAAAATTGATCATTCATCCAATCGGAATAACAATCAAGAGATGTAATTTTAAGATCAAACATTTGATTAAGAGTGATGCAAGATAAGAAAACTTGAGAGATAAAATGATGTCAAGGATTGCTAATAAACTCCCTTTAATTAGAAAAATTAAAGACAACAAAGATATTGGCGCATACATCCATCATACTGAACATAAGCTACAAGTACCTTTACCTCATTTGAATGAATAATGAATAATTTACCTCATTTGAATGAAAGAAATGGTGGTACTGCATAAGTGGGAGAGTATTAAACAGGGTAATTAAGAATTATCAACTGAGTTGATAACATAAATTGGCCACCAGAAAGAGATTTAAAGCTCATGTATCAGCATTAGCCCTTTGTAAGAGCAGTGAATGATGAAGGGCTAACCCTCCAAATGTCAGCTTTGAAACTATTTGCAGTGGCCAATTCACATTATCAACTTAGTTGATAAATACTTAACAACATGTACCAAATTCAGTGGATGCTTACAATCAAAGCCTTGTATTCCTGTATCATCTCCATATCCTCTTGATCTAGTTTTACAGCATAATCCTGTATTCCTTGCACCCAGTACTTATGGATAGCAGCACATCCACCTAACCCAATCTCATGCAGAGCATACTCCATGGCATCCTACATAGCATGGCATGAAAAACTCAGACCTAATTTTATCAGGACAACTTCCATGTGAAATCCACAATCTAACTTCTAATGATTAAAGCCCTGATCATTCAAACTTGTAATTTTAACCATCTTTCATTTTTTTTCCAATTCAATTCCTTTTCCCAGACATTTTAATCTCTTTACTCCCAGAAGTGATTGATTTGTGACTTCTCCTAACTATTTTGGTACATGATTTGGCAACTAGGTGACAAGAATAAAAAAATATTAGCAAGAGCATGTTTTCTTGATATAACACCAAATTTTACCCACTACTTAACAAGAAAATGTATATATAGCAAGAGAATGAAAAATCAGTTCTTGTGTCTGAGTGAAAGGGTTAACCTGTGTGGAATACACAGATCGAATAATTCTATGAAAAGAAATTCTGTTAACATAGTAGAAGCCTTGCATTTTCATTGCTGTGAAAAAAATCAATTTTCAATTGGGTGTTGCAAGTAATCAAGGACTGCTGTGGTTTTGTTCACTTTACTCAAACTGAGACTGATCCAGAAGACTTGCACTAACCTCTCACCCAATCAGACGTAAAACTAGACCCAAATGCAACTTTGTTACTTGCATTTTCTCCTACTTCATGCAGTATTCCTTTTTACTTTGAATTCTCATTGGTTAATGATGATGCTAACTTTTAAATAATCTTATCACACATAATCAATAAAATAATGTATATATTCTTCTAGGTTAATAACTTACATTAAGCCTACAGTGATGGTTAGCCTCAAAATTCTAAAATGACCTCTGAGTTTTAAACCTGATTTTTTTGAAAACAAATAAGACTGTGGCAAACATGAATAAGAGCTTGCTCTTACTGGCTAACGTTTGACTTACTGGAAAACCTGTTCTTCCACCTAATGCATTATTATCAACACTCATTCTCAAAAGACGACAGAGCTTGGTGTTAAAGTCATCTAGGATGTCTGTTAGTATTTCCAGAGAAGATTCACTGGCCACTGAAAAACCAACAAATTTGTATCTTAAATGAAGTGATACCATGTCATTTGCACTGTTAGTTTTTTGACACAATATTACTAAAGTAGTGATTGTGGCAGTGGTGATGAGCTGTTCACATGAGTCATTTAGAGGGGTCTCAACATTAAAAAACCAAATCAGATCTTGGAATGGCAAAGAAACAAACTGATATCAACTAGGGCTTCAAAAGGCTTAAAAAGAATGTTTAATATTCACACTTGGTGATTGGCAAATGCCACTACTAATGTTTTATAAGTATGTTGCCATGATCAGTGATGAACACCCATGAGGACTGGAAGGTATACAAAACATGGCACAAGACAGGAAGGAAAGGAAAAAGCAGATAATTGGATGATGATATTTATTTATGATAACAAATATAAAAAACTCACTATCAAATCCTGCAAGAGCACATAAGGTAGCTACTGACTTCATCAACAAATGTCTGTTGGAAGCACTGTCTAGCTCTGCACATGTAAGGGCAGAATGAGGTTCATGAGGGCTGCAACAGAAATGATGCATACGGGTATTGTCAGTGAATCATTCTACCTAACAAAAACTGTGACACTTATAACAAATTCAAACAGCTGCTTTTTTTTCCTGCTTATCATTGGATGAATTGACAGAAAACCTCTCAGACTTACTATATTTCTTCAGCTATAAGCCAAGCAATTTTTTCAGTATTAGACACAAAAGTTTGGGAGATTTTTCATAAGAAATGGGGTTCGGCTTATAGCTGAGGGTTTGGGATTCAAAAACAAGTACAATTGCAAACTTAATGTTAATGCCAATTGACCGTAAATTCTGTGACCGCAGTACTCTTTACATGACATGTTTTAAAATTGTCAACAATATATTCCAGACCAGCAATCAGATTCTTTGCTTCCCATGAGCGATTTCTGAGTTGTTTTCTATAGCTTCAGC